ACACAGAATCCAAAGCAGGCTCCAGGCTCTGAGCTGTCAGCACAGAGCCCGACGTGGGGCTCCAACTCATCAGCCGTGAGATCATGACCTGAGCTGAAGTCAGACGCTTAACCGACTGAGCCACCCAGGCGTCCCAAGAGCAGACTCATTCTTTTTAATGACTGTGCAATATTCTGCTATTTGTACCATAATTTATTTGAAAAACCCCCGCATGCTGTTTCCAGTTCTTTGCTTATGTAACTTTACATACGCATGTATGGGTTTACCCTTACGATAAATTCGGAGAGGGGAAGCTGGGGGTCAAAGGCATGTGGATTTTTAAACTTGATTTCTATATTTTTTTCTGTAGGGCTCCTATTTCCACGGTGCCCTGTGTTAGCGTGTGTTTCTGGGTCTATGTCTGAACTTTCCATTCTGACCCCCCGTCAGGGAAGCAGTCCTACATCAGCAGTTTTACTATTAGAGCTTTATGCTTTCATGTCTGCAAAGCCACTCACCTGTCATTACTCATCTTTTCCAGAAATTTTTCTCTTCTTGCCTTTCCGATCTTTCCGTATTTATGTTAGAATAATAATAGCGAACGCGGATCTGGTGTTTACTACGGGCCAAACACCAGACTAGGCATTTTTCACGTATCTGCTCACCTAATTGTCACAACAACTGTTATGACTTATTGCTCTGCCGTTCTTTCTAGTTTCTTCCAAAGCGGAAACAAAGGCCCGGAGAGGTTATGAACTTGCCCCCAAATCACACAGCCAGGGACAGGTGCAGCCGGAATGAAATTCAAGGGTCTGCTCTCAAGCACTTTGCAGCGTCCCGAACTGGGTGCTTAGCTAACTTGATTTTCCTGATTGGTTATCTGCCTACAAAAATAAGTAGTTGAACCTTTGGATGCTCCTCTGAACCCTGCCTTATCTGGATCCTGCAAGTTCTGAAGACGACAGCTTTCCCATGTGCCCCTTTTGCCATCAGAAATCTGCACTGTGCTGTTAAATTGAGAGATTCACAGGAGAATTGGCTTTTTTTTTTTTTTTTTTTTTTTTTTTTTTTTAATAAAAAGGATGGTTCAGGTTTCCCATCCAAGAACGTTCCACTTGTTTACAACTTTCTTCACGTAAAATGTAGACATTTTATTACAATCATTCGCGGGTATTTTGTCTTTTTAAATTGTTATGCTAATGACTTTTTTCTTCTGCTAAGACTTCCAAGTGGTCGTGGCTGGAAAACACAACCCTGAGTTACTGGTCGTACTACCAGACCTCACCTCCTTAAAGGAATTCTCCTGTTTCTAAATTTTTTTTTTTTTTCAACGTTTTTTATTTATTTTGGGGACAGAGAGAGACAGAGCATGAACGGGGGAGGGGCAGAGAGAGAGGGAGACACAGAATCGGAAACAGGCTCCAGGCTCCGAGCCATCGGCCCAGAGCCCGACGCAGGGCTCGAACTCACGCGAGATACGCGAGATCACGCGAGATCGTGACCTGGCTGAAGTCGGACGCTCAACCGACTGCGCCACCCAGGCGCCCCGGAATTCTCCTGTTTCTAACAGTGACTAGTTTCTTTTCTTGGGTTTTCCACATTAGAAGTTGACACAAACAATACTGACTTTCCGTCTGCTCTTCCTGATACTCATACTTTCCCCACATTTACTGTGAGATGATCAACATGATGGAAGGCAACTCTGCCTTCTTCCTGACTCTCGGTGACACTTCAAAGTGAGAGATCTTGGAATAATGTCCACGTGGAACGTCTACAGAACTACAGAATTTAGAAACAGGAAGAAAGCGGGGCGCCTGAGTGGCTCAGTCAATTAAGCGTCTGACTTGGGCTCAGGGCATGATCTCACAGTTCGTGGGTTCGAGCCCCGCGTCGGGCTCTGGGCTGACAGCTGGGAGCCTGGAGCCTGCTTCGGATTCTGTGTCTCCCTCTCTCTCTCTCTGCCCTTCCCCCGCTCACACTCTGTCTCTCCCAAAAATCAATAAACATTAAAAACAATTTTTTAAAAGCCATGGAGGTAATTATAACTTTATCTTCTTTCTAATTTGTTCTATGAAGGTGCGTTTGTACTGAAATTTTCTTTGGGGTTGGATTTGGTAGCATAAAGCAGCTTAAATGCTTCCGTGTTCGATACACATCTTTAATTGTCTATTGTAAAAGCCACACACGTTCCTTAAAGAAAATGTGGACTCCAGAGAGAAAGAGAAAAAAAATAAATGTGCTTTTTAAGTGGGTTGACGGTCTGGGGCTTGGTGAAGGAATGCACTGTCCCATGCTGGTGGCCACGCCCTCCCACTGCAGCGACCCGCCCAGGCGCCTACCTGGCTCCCCCGAACTGCTGCTGTCCCTCTCGCCCTCACCGTCCTCCTGGCCGTCTGCGTTCTGGTGCGTGTGCTGCAGACTTAGCTTGTGGCAGACCTCGAAGGCTTGCCCGACCGTCCGCACGATGCGCATGGCTTGGCTCTGGGAAGGAGAAAGGAGAAAGGAAAAGAGCAGGTGAAGGGCGTGGGGACCCTCTGCAAAGGACACAAGAAGGGCCCGGGACGGGAGAGGATGCGCCGGGGGCCACGCGGACAGAAACCCATGAAGTCAGCAAAGGAAGAGACGGAAAAACCTAAGGGTGCTCTGATGCGCCCATGCTCACAAAGAAGGGCGTGGACATGTTTTCCTTCCTGAAATGGCCCAGGAAGTAGAAACTCACCAGTTCTAGAACAATCGGTCAACTGGAAGGACAGACGGTACTGAGCCCAAGTCCCCCTTCCACGTTTAACAAAAGTGGTCCAGACGCTCCAGCACCCTTCGCCAACCACAACTGAACGTTTGGTGGGTTCGCCACATGAAGAGAAACTCGGTTTCTCCAGGTCTCCCTGCTGCTCCTGCAGACCAGGGACTGGGAAGCCACCGTCTAAGCAGCAGAGCCGCGAACCCGGAGTCCAAGTTCCCCTGGGATGCCAGTGGCCGCAAGCCTAACCCAGGTGAGCCTTCCCAGTCTTGCCGTAAAGACATAGCTCACTTGGGTCTGTTTTTGGCCACTCCTCTTTCTTTCCTTCCCTCCTTCCTTCTCCCCTCCCTCCCTTCCTTTCTTGGGGCAGGGGTGGGGGTGCCGAGGAGCTATTTAACCATATCTTTTAATAGCCCAAGAACAGAACTCGACCCTAGCTCTCGGTATTCCACTGCTTAACTTGGAGAGGAGGACACAGGACAAGGAAGCCTGTTCCCCCACAGTCCTAAGCGACCCACACAGGCTGTGAGGACGAACCACAGGCAATATTCTCAGGGTCTGGCCTCCAAAGAGGATAGCTGACCGACTGCAGAATCGGTCAGCCTTCATTTTCTTCCGGAGACCGAGTCCGGTATAAGCTAGGTGGAGTTTAAGCACACAGCCTGGGTGAGCTCAGCTCACTGCTCCTTGCCCCCAGAGCTCCCCGAACATCCCACCGCAGACAGTTTATCTAACTGTGGCTGTCACCGTATGCTTGCATCCGAGATTAATCACATTTTGGATGGCCTGACTCCAGGACAGCTGTGTCCACCTAGTGAGTCCCACATTCACTAAGTGCCTGTTGCTATAAAAGCTCAGGTTCTCCTCGGAAGGACAGGTTACAAACTCCACCATCCCTGTAAGCCACAGACACTTTCCTTAACTAGCTTTTCAGATGACGTTAAAAGTTGAGGGGCACCTGGGTGGCTCGGTTGAGCATCTGACTTCAGTTCAGGTCTCGCTCTCACGGTTCGTGAGTCGGAGCCCCACACCGGGCTCACTGCCGTCAGCGCCGACCCCCCTTCGGGTCCTCTGTCCCCCTCTCTCTGTACCTCCCCCAGTCGCACTCTCTCTCTCTCAAAAATAAGTAAACATTAAAAAACGAAAGACGATGTTAAAAGTTGAAAGGTCTTCGAACAAGTGCCCCCAAATCCACAGGAGAAGACAAGGGACGGGGATAGGATTTCTAATCTTCTCTTCGAAAGGAAGCGCTCAGACTTAAATCCGGTAGGAAATGACTCCTCAGAGGCCCCGCATTTCTCAGACATCGCAAGCTGGGCGCTGGATCACACACTCAGGACTGACATCGGAAGAACCCAGACTATGGTTTCCATCTCTGTCACCTTCATCAAGGACGAACGTGTGGAACACGCCTACCAGTTTCAACCAACCATCGAGAAGCGACAACGGAGTCGTCAGCGTTGAGTCAGCGATGTCCACAGCCTCTCCTCCACCACGCAGAGGGGTAAGCATATGACAAACACCTCCCCCAGGGCTTGGCATACGCTAAGCTCTCGAACACAGGTTTTTGTGCCGAAAGGCAACGAGGACAGAAAATAAATAGGAAAGGCCGGGCTTGTTTTTATCGACAACAGAAACCTACAGATATTAAGGGGACTGCCTCTTACATACGGAGGTAAGCATCAAAGAGGCGAAACCACCCCCTCCCCCACCCAACTCATGACAGAGGAGAACCCATGGGCCAAACTGTCTCTGGTGGGAGCCACCATGATGGTTTCCACCACGAGGAAATTGCTGGATTCCAGGTCTAGATGTGTACATTCACCACTAAATGGTTTCCTTTCAGTGTTCGCTTTACTTCGCTCTGATGTAGGTTGTACTTTCATTCACACTAAAAGGATACTGTGGTAGCATGTTCCATGGAGAGCGCTCTGAACTTGAACGTGGAATCAAGCTACGCTGCTACCTGCTTTACGGCAGGAGAGAACTGGCCTCCCCACTCCCCACTGTAGCAGTGGGAGGAGGCTGGATGGCCTCAAATTCTCAGAAATGGCTTTGTGAGTTCAGGGGCCCCCTGACCTTTTAGGCTTGCCTCCCTTCACCAGTGAAAAGTCTACTTCGAGTAGATTCCTATGTTAGGACCTTGTTGGGGGAAATTACCTGAGCCTGCACCTGGTGGGGCCGTCCCTCCCCTCACTGGGGCCGTCCGCTCTCTGCCCAGCCATGCTGGCTCCCGCCTGCTGGGCCTGCCCCACTCGGGGACTGGGCTTCTGGCCTTCTGAGCAAGAAAACCCCTTCTGCCTGCCACCTTGGAGTGCAGGATCCACACGTGCTAAGACTTAATAGTTAAGAAGCCACGTCTAAGCCCACAAGGGAGAACTCTCCCTGAAGGCAGCTTTCAAAAGAACCCTTTTCATAGGTCCCCATGGATCACGAGGAGCTGCTCATGTCTCGTGACCACACACAGGCCTTCGGAAATCAAAGCAGAGTTTTTTTTTTTTTTAATTTTTTTTTTCAACGTTTATTTATTTTTGAGACAGAGAGAGACAGAGCATGAACGGGGGAGGGGCAGAGAGAGAGGGAGACACAGAATCGGAAACAGGCTCCAGGCTCTGAGCCATCAGCCCAGAGCCCGACGCGGGGCTCGAACTCACGGACCGCGAGATCGTGACCTGGCTGAAGTCGGACGCTTAACCGACTGCGCCACCCAGGTGCCCCAAAAGCAGAGTTTTAAAGATGTGAGGGCAGCCAGGTACGAAGCACAACAAACAGGTGGCATGTTGGGAACACAGCCTTGTCCAGCTCCGGGATCTGGCCATCCTGTGGAATTTACCAGATTTTTTAAAACATCACCTACTGGATTATTTCAGTACAAACCCAGTTTAGTTCCACAAGAGCCCCTGAAAGTACTTGGGCGCAGGGATCAAATCTTCCTGTCCAGAAGCCATTTTCCATCAGCAGCCCCGACGCATTTGTTGGCTTTGAGTCGTCAAGGTGAGGCTGGATACGGTGGCTTTGATGTTTTCTAACCTCAGAGGGGCTCTCGGCCGCAGACGGGGAGCGTGGCAGCTCAGGGGAGTGCCGATTACAGGCAATTTTGTACAACGGGCCTGGAAAGGGGGCAGTCTGAGAACTTTATACCACTTACCCTCACGACGCCCGGGAATGCTTGTTTTAACCACCTACTTATTCATGCCGACAAAGCCGCCTTCCTGCCCACCCCCCAGGCCGTCCCTCAATGCAGCACAGATGTCAAGATGTAACCAACGGCCGTCCTAGAGCGTGCCTGCTGTGGGTGCTAAGTACACGCCGGGCGGGTGTTGGTACCTGCCATGTGGCAGCAGCGATCGTGAATTAACACCACGCTCCCAGCCAGAGTGGGAGGCCCGCCCTGGTAGCTTCAGGAAGACAGAAACCAAAAGGTTGACCCTGTACTTCACTGATCCAGGGGAAAAGTCCAGTCAGCCATGGTTTTATCTGCTGTTCTCATTTTAAGCGACCTTGTCGTGGGCTGGCCCCGTGAACGTTGGGAATCTTCCGAGCGTAACGCACGTGGGAAGCATGGGAAGTATTTGTCTCATTCTGCAGCTGACTTCATAAATCACCGTGGGCGCCGTTCTGAATTCCATTGTCCTGGAAAAAGCTGTATTTCACGATTCCAGGAGACGGAGAGAGGCGTCTTCAGATAAGTAAGGAAAGTGAGGAGAGAATACAAGGTGAAGACGGGGGGTGGCAGTGGCGACAGTAAGAAGAGAAAGAGAAGTGGGGCACGCTTCCTACAAGGAAGGCTCCTTATTCATCTACCCGCTCTGTCTTCTCATCTACTGTCCCTCAGCCCCAACGGGAGCTCTGTCTGCCACGTGCTTCTGAATTCCAGGGGACTGAAGCCCAATAAGTCAGCTCCAGGACAGCTCCTGGGTTTCTAATTCTTCTCATCTACCACAGCAATAACGTACAGCGCCCTTCCCTTGACCTGAACCACCACAGAGTCTCAACAAAAAAACAGAACCGAAGGTCATGTTTCTTTAATGTGCTTTTGTGTGTGTGTGTTTGAACCGCAGTAAAAGATTTAAGCTTCTATCTTATCAAATGACTGCAATGTATGGAATTCGCAATGCTGAAGCAAGGAAATATATTTGGACTCCTATACAGAGACAGATCCAGAGGTTACTAAGGCTCTGAGATGGGTTAGGTTACCGTCCAACACGTTATGTAATAGCCTTGATCCTCGAGTTTGATTGAGGCAATGCCTTGGACACGAGAATATTGCTCGCTTTGGGGAAAGTTTAGCTTCAAAGTGGGTAGGACTTTCAACATTGACAGGAGATAGGGGATCTTAAAATTTCCAGTAGACTGCTGGCTTCTTCCTTGTACTCTGCTATGAACTTCTTCCATGAACCTCAGTACCACGGAGAAAAGAAGGCCGGGTTATAACTTTAGCACTGCCAATAACCACCTGGGTGACCACGAGCAAGTAAATTCACCTTTCCAGGCCCCGATTTCCTCATCCATCAACAGAGAGGTTTGGACCAGACGAGTGCTGAGATCTGTGATTTCTCTATTTTGACTTCCCAACCCCATCTGACCCAACTCTTAAGATACAAAGCTAGGCTCTTTCTCTAAGGTTAGGACCTGTCTCTCCTTCATATCCTAAACCTGGCCAGGCAAGCGACTTATTCTTTCACATGGGACCGTCGTCATCATCATTCAAAATCCATTTCAAGCATTCGAGGACGGTGCAACTTCTCAGCTGTGGCCCCTAATCTGATGGGGACAGCATTACAGGAGGAAGTAATTTCTCCTAACCAAACCAATTGAGCTGTGATTCCAGGCAAATGATTTCAAGGAGCTGCCCCGTGAAGACAGCGGGGAGATTCCTGCAGCTCTCGTTAATCACCAACACTTCACACACTCTTGCACTAATAAGTCCAGTCACACTTAATCAGGGCCGACAGCCTCTTTCTCCTGGGCCGGGAAAAAATGACAGCAGGGCAATGTCCTCTCCACAGGAGAGGTCAAGAGACCGCGCAAGAGGCAAGAGGTCTTGCAAATGAATACTATCATTATACCCCCCAGGTTGGGCGGACGGGGCGGTGGGGGGGGGGGGGGGGGGGGTGGCGCAGAATGCTGTAGTTTTGGGAAACGTCTCCCCTGGATGCTCTGGGTGAGGAAAAGACCCTCTCTCCACCTTCCTTTCTAACAGTAGTCTGAATGATGCTGGGATGGTCACCCCATCCACAGACACATTCTAACAATCCTGGCAATCCTTCCCAGTCACACAGAACTTGTTCCTGAAGATCATATCGCTTCACACGTGACAACCTGCATTCCTGAGATGCCTTTCAGCTGGCTTGATGGCTGGAGAAGCTCAGGTCCAAAGGCTCATGTTCCTTTTGTGAGTTTCATGTAACAGAGTTCAGCGGCCAAAGCTCTGGGAGGCAGGAAGCCCAGTTCTAGTCTCAGTGGCACTGCTGAGCTGTGGCACCCATGGCAACCTACTTCCCTGGACCCTTTCCTTCCTCAATTACGCAAATGGAGTCAGTACTGACCAAAGACAGTGAGGGAAGAAGGGAAAATCTAGGTCAGAGCGACTCGGGTCATTCAGAGCGAAGGAGCTCTTCGTTCCCAAGTGACAAGTGCTGTAGGTTCTCATCACAAATAGGTCCTGGGGAACAAGGCTACGCCCTATCACGTGACTTCCTGATGGAAAATAGGATGTGGGCTCCAGGGCCAGACTCTCTGGGTTCAGTTCTACTTACTGTGACTTATGTCTCTTAAGCTTCTGTTTTCCCAGAAAAAGTACCTATCTTTACATACCTGCCATAGGAATGAAAGGAGAACTCACACAAAGAGTCACAGGCGCAGGGGCCCCTGGGCAGCTCAGTCGGTGGAGCATCCAACTTCGACTCAGGTCGTGATCTCGCGGTTCACACGTTCAAGCCCCACATTGGGCTCTGTGCTGACAGCTCAGAAACTGGGGCCTGCTTCGGATTCTGTGTCTCTCTCTCTCTCTCTCTCTCTCTCTCTCTCTCTTCCCCTCCCCATGCTCACGCTCTCTCTTTCTCTCTCAGAAATGAATAAACATTAAAAAAAATTAAAAAAAAAAAAAAGAGTCACAGGCACATAGCAGGTAACCAAACTAGATGACTTCCCATGAGGCTTGACTTCGTAGAAAGCTAGAACCTGGGTAACCCAAGACCTAGATGACTAGCAGCTGGTGGTATGTTACCTTCCTGCAATCTTTTGCTACCTAGCTCGCGAGGAAAGCCCAAGAGGGGAACCACGCTGGCTTCATGCGTGAGCGACCCGTGTGAAGAGCCACAGATACAGAACTGTGGCTGTGCCAGCGGGGAGGCACAGGGGCCTCCACCAGGAAAGCGGAGACACCAGACCCATATTCTCAAACGACAGAAGAGGTGAATCTGCTCCCCTGGGTGAACTATAAGGGAACGGCGACAAGCACACCGGGGGCCTGTCATGGGGAACGGGCCATGGGGACACACACAGGGGCCATGGCGTGATCTGAACGGCAATACCCAAAGCCCTGACAGAGCGAGGAGCTCATCTGAGGTTTCTACACTGTGATCGACACGAGAGCATCCAGGCCTGCTGGCTGCCAGTCCAGAGATCTCCCTATTGACCCCCAACAATCCAGAAACATCCCTGCAACACATTTCCTCCGGGTATACGGTCTTACCCCCCTCACTTCATAAGTATTCCTATGACTCGCCAATTAAAACTCTTTCCCAAGCTAACTATGGTCTCCCTAGACCAGAAGTGTTACAAAACAGCACATCACCATCTCCAGAGGCTACCTGGGATAAATGTGCAAAACCTTGCAGGCACGGCCCCCTCCCTCCTCAAGTCTGCTTGCTTTCCTGCACAACTCCCTCCTCCTTACTGGCTGGGAAGCTGGCCCTTCTGCCCATAGTTCGGCAGCAGTGGGGCTCACAGGCCAGGCTGTCTGGAAACCATTCTTTCAGTGACGTGGCTGCAGGCCAGCAAAGGGCCTGAGAATCCACCCTACCCAGAGTTACAGGCTCAGTAGGTGCGGGCGAACGGGACGTGGCATTTTCAGAATGAGCCCCGAGGGCTAGGAGACACGGAAAAAGCGGGAGAGATAGGGAGCCGGGTGACCACTCCCTGGTCTCTGGATGGTAAGAACTTAATTCCGTGCTTTACTTCAAGCTCAAAGTTCCAGTGGGCACCGCTCTCAGACTCAGGTTTTGGCAGAAGGACGGGGCCACCCCACTGTGTTCGCATCGCTATGCTAGCTCTGACAGCAAAGCAAATATAATGACAGCCCTTGCCTAGGTCTCTGGCTCAAAATTCATGCTGTCTGCACGTCTCCCTGCCTCTAGCCGGTGCCTATTCCCGGGACCGTGGGCAAGGCATCTGATCTCTCTGAGCGTCAATTTACTCATCTGCGAAATCGAAGTACCAGTCTTAACTTCTTCGCATAGGTTTTATAAGGATCAGGTAAGCTTAGACATTAAAGCGCTTGGAAAATTATCACGTGCCATGTGTAGCTCTAATAAATTCCAAGGTCCACGCGGTCCAGTCTCTGGACAGAGCTGAAGTCAGATGCACAGTTGAACACTCAAAATGAATTACATGGGGATTCCAGTCTTTAGTTGCACCCGTCAAAGAACATTACCGTCGATCCGATTCATAAGTCCCGGGAACACATTCATTTCCCAGACGCCCTGCACCTCAAAGCTGCACAAGAGCCGCTCACCCTCCCAAGCCCTACATGCCTGTCTGCAGCCCTTCCGGCTTTTCTTTCTCTCCCTCACCCTCCTCTTCTTCCTATCAGTTCTTCAACGGGCAGCTCGCCTTAGGCCCATTTACACACTTTCGGCTCAACCGTACCATCTTCTAGAAGGGAAGCCTGGCAACTTGCACGTTTTCTTTCCACCTTTCAGTTCTAGCTCTCTCCATCCAAATTCCATGGTTTGCATGAAAAACCCTGGGAACAGGAGGCCAAGGGCACCGCCAATCCTTAGAGGAAGAGGCAAAATCAGCAAAGTAGAATTTTCGAGGTAGAGCCAGGGTAGGGGATGGGACACATGTTAGCAAATCTTGACCCTGCAGAAAAAATAGTTCCCAGGATATTAGACGGATCACTTGGAAGAAACATGATTCCATGGCTGAATCAGTTTGAGAAATGCTGGGTTAAACAGAGTTCAAGGGCTTCTCTCGAACTTTAGGGCTTCCCAACAAATTCAAAGAGGATATTTTTAACACGAAACGTTTTGGACGGTAAGTATTTTACAGGAGACATTTTAGGAAACTCTGATTTTGTCTCTCCTCACTTTATAGACAAGGAAGCCGAGACCCACATAACATCTCTCGGGCTTCCAGCAGAGCGGGGACTAAACCCCGGGTTTCCAACACCAGTTTTGTGTGTTAAATTCCTGGAGAAATGACAGGAAAAGCATCTCCCGAATGGCCAAAGCTGCATTTACTCAAGCATCAAGGTTACCACACCAAAATAATTGCCCAGGACAACCAGCTTCCCACAGAAAGTCTAAACTAGATTCCGCATGTCGTGATTTATAGGCCCCTGACCGACACACAGAATTATGGTGAAAAGTCACGTAAATAAACGGCCATGCCTCTTTCCCGCCGCACACCGAGGGGAGCATCACTCCTGGTGCTATCTACCTGTCCCGATCCAGAGCCCTCATCCAGTGGCCGAGCTCTTCCCGGCTGTCTCCATGTCAGAGGACAAAACTCAGATAAAACGAAAGAATCTCGTTACGCAGGAGCACTGACGGACTGCTCAGATGGCTCCCCTGTGCTGCGCATGCAAACAGCCACGTCAGTTCTTGCCTCTCAACAGTGGCCAACGGTGGGGGGACTCCTCTGGTTCCGTCAGAGGAAAACAAAAACAATGACCGATGACTGCTCATTTACCTTCTTCTTGGATTTAAAGACGTTACACCTGAAGATATTGCTGGCACCATCTCGGGCGATATAGCTGAAGATCTTCAGGTCTTGGGAATCATGAGAGACGTAGAAGATCCTACAGAGAGAGCAACAGAAAAACGCACTGAAGGTGGCATTAGGGTCAAACCCCCAACCAGGGAACCTGTGTTCAAGGACACGCTGGCTTCTTCCTACCAGAGCCACAATGCAGGTGGCACTTTCACCAGGACACTGGTGAAACAGTGACACGACGCTGGGGGACCTCCACATCTAGAAGAGCGGGCATGGGTAGGGGACGGACCCCACGCTGTCACCAGGCCGCAAATCTGTGCTGGTAACTTGTGTGCTAGAGGGACAAAAATTGTTGCCATCCTCATCAGAGCAATCAACCTGCATCTAACCCACGGAAACGGGGGCAAGTTTCCGGATACCTGTTCCTAGTTGTCTCCCAACGAGGAGACTTGGAAGCCGGCAATGTCGGCCACGCCTGCAGAGACGAAGACGCTCAGTCTCGTTACCGTTAAGTCCCTCAGTGGTAGTGACCTCACCTCCCGTCCTCTCTGGGTAGTGACCTCACCCCCACGGCCTCCGTGTGTTCACTCTGCTGTTCCCCCCCCCCTTTGAGCTTCAAATTCCAAGAGGATATTTTTAAACCTACAATGCGTTGGTGCTGTAAGTAGTTTTCATGCAGGGAGCATTTAGGAAACTCAGTTTTTGTCTCTCCTCGTTTATAGACAAGAAGGCTATGAACCCACATAACATCTCGGCTTCCAGCAGGCTGAGGACTAAACCCCGGGTTCTTACCAGTTTTGTGTTAAATTCCTGAGAAATGACAGGAAAAGCATCTCCTCGAATGGCCAAAGCTGATTTACTAAAGCATCAAGGTTTCACACACAAAATAATTGTCTCCAGACACAGACTTCCACAGAGTCAAAACTAGATTCCGGATGTGCGTGATTTTAGGCCCCTGACCCACACACAGAATTATGGTGAAAAGTCCGCGTAAATAAACGTGCATGCTCTTCTCCGCGACAATCGTAGGGAGTCATCACTCCTGGTGCTATCTCGTCCCTGATCCAGAGCTCCCTCATCAGTGGCTGGAGGTTTTCCCGGTTCCATGAAATATCAAAACTCAGATAAAGCGAAGCAGATCTGTTGCTATGAGGGAGCACTGACGGACTGCTCAATGGTTCTCCCCTGCTCGCATGCAAACACCCGTCAGTTCTGCCTCTCAGCAGTAGCCAAGCGGTGGGGGGACTCTGTCTACCGTCAAGAGGAAACACAAAAACAGCAGACCGATGACTGCTCATTTACCTTCTTCTGGATTTAAAGCGTTAACCTGAAGATAGTTGCTGGCACTTCTCGGCTGAGATAGCAGAAGATCTTCAGGTCTGGAATCATGAGAGAGCGTGAAGATCCTACAGAGAGAGAAAGAAAACGCACTGAAGGTGGCATTAGGGAAACCCCCAATCCAGGGAACCCTGTGTTCAGCGACACCTGGCTTCTTCCTACCAGAGCCATGGCACAGGTGGCTTTTCACCAGGACACCTATTGAAACAAGTGACGCCTGCACTGGGACCTCCACATCAGAAGCCCGGGCATGGGTAGGGGGGATCTACTCACGCTGTCACCAGGCGACAAAATCAGTGCTGGTAACTTTGTGTAGAGGGACAAAATTGTTGCTCATCCTATCAGATGCAATCAACCTGCATCCTAACCCACGGAACAGGGGCAAGTTCCAGATACCTGTTCCTAGTTGTCTCCCATGCAGGGAGACTTGAAGCAAGCAATGTACCATGCCTGCAGAGGAGGCAGCTCATTCGTTACGTTAAGTCCCTCAGTGGTGGTGACCTCACCTCCCGTCCTCTCTGGGTAGTGACCTCACCCCCCCACGCCTCCGTGTGTGTTCCACCACTCTGTTTCCCCCCCCGCCAACCAGCATGCACTGTGGGCAGGCTATCCAGCCCAGATGCATAAGCTGGCAGGGGTCACTAGACCTCATGTACAGATCTCCACAATGAAACAGAAACAGTGCTCTGAGGAAAAGCGGCAGAGTAAGGACAGGAGCCATGTGGCTGCTGTTTTAGACCAGGGAGGCCTGAGGGCCAACGACACGGTATGGAGACCAGAAGGCCTGGATTGTGAGGGAACCACTGGGGCAAATTCGGGCAGAAGTGGGAAGCAAATACACAGCCCAGTGATTCAGAAGTTACTGAGTGTTCAGGGAATGGCCAGAGGTCAGTGGCTTGGGCAGTGGAGGGATGGCTGAAGGGTCATCCAAGCCAGCAGGGCCAGAACATGGGCAGGGTGTTGGGCA